TAAAATTAGTGAAAAGCTAATTTGATCATATCCCAAATTCTTCCAGATAAACTTTGGTTTCAAACACAGAATCCATCTTAAACTGTAATCTGGTTTCCAACCGTTTTCCCTTCCTCTTTGTACATAGTTTAGTTTAGTTGAGTTTTACTAGTCTTAGTTGAGAGTGTTAAACTGAAATACGTTTGACGTGGAGCTGAATGATTTTTGTTAATAAAATCTTATATTTTTAACAGAAGTTGTGGTGAATTTATTCCATGTATGTGCAGAAATAACTGTTTGACCATGATTAGTGCTCGAATCACTCTTTAATCTATTGTTCTAACACACAGTTAGTAGGACTGTGTGTCATAAACAGTATATAACAGCTGAAATAATATCTGATTAAATAAGATATTTTACCACCCCTACAGGGTAGGGCAATAAACATCTTAAAGTATCAGAAACATAAATTCCCAGCGGGCTGGGTATAGAATTTACCTATAGAATCACAACAGGATGAAGAGAGCACATCCAGTTAGTCACAGTCAGAGAAACAGGACTACACTGGAAAACAGGCCAAGCTCCAACATCTAGAAACAAAGGTGTTGATGGCAGCAGCACAGCTGATATTTCTCTCCAGGATGGAGTCACAGCCAAACAGGAACAGACCAGATGAAGCTACTATGAGAAAAAGCAGAGAGAGCAGAACGTTAGAGATTGAACTAACAGATTCTGCAGAGTGGGAGAATAGAGATAGAATGAAGCAGAATGATGAAAAAGGGGTCCCTATGTCCTCCAGCAGTCTAAGCCTATAGCAGCAGAACTATAGAGATAGCTCAGGATAACCTGAGCCACTAACCAGAAGCTTTATCAAAAAGGAACGTTTTAAGTTTCAGGGAGTGGTTTCCTAGTGGTTAGGGCATTATGCTTGGATCCCAGAGGTTCTGAGTTCTAGCCACACTCCCACAGACTGCCACTGTGAGCAAGACCCTTAACCGCTCACTGCTCTCTGGGCGCTGCACAATGGCAGCCCACTGAAATGCAGAGATACATTTCTCCAGGGAGAGTTCAATAAAGTTCAAATATTATTATTGTTTAAATAAAGGTTTAATTCCAGCAACCTTAAAAGCCTTTGGTACATATCCCTGTAACAGAGATAGATTAATCACATCTAAAATGGAGGAGGAGATCAAAGGGAATACCTGCTTAAATAACCTGGTTGGAACTGGATCTAACACCCAGGTTGAAGGCTTAGATGAAGACAATAGTTCTGCTAACTCTGAAAGTTCAACTGGATCAAAGCAGTCTAAACCCGGTTCAGATTCCATGACTACCTCAGATGCTGCCCCCCCCCCTCCAGAGACAAACCAATCATGGATAGAGGAGTGCTAATGATCTTATTTTTAATAAGATCAATCTTATTTATAAAGAATCCCATAAAATCATTCCTTCTAAGAGCAGGTGGAATGGACGGTTCAACAGAGCTATGGCTCTGGGTGAGTTTGGCAACTGGATTAAAAAGATACTCCTTTATTAATGAGGAGAAGTATGCTGCTCTTGCTTAACAAAGGGTCCTCTTATACAGCAGTTGTTGGGAGCTGGAGAGGTTCCATCTCTCTCCAGCAGTCCGCCATGGATCCTCCTGAGCTGAGCCTTCGACACACCTGAGGCGCATCTCATCATCAGAGGATCCACAGTATATAAGCTGTCTTCAGATCTTGCCTCGACGCCGCAGTGTTAAATCCAGTTGGAAACTTGTCTTTCTCCTGTGAAGCTCTGGAAGAGCTTAACCTGCCGAGCCTGCCCTCTGAGCCAAACCTGAAGACTCTTCTCTGGATTCCCATGCAGCTCAGGACTAAGAGCTGGAAACTCAGAACCAAGGTCTGCCTTCACGCTAGAAGTAAGACGCTGAAGCAGTTATCGGACTCTGCTGAACGAAACAATCTCTGGATCCCAACAGTTCCTCCCTCAAGGCTTTATTAGGACTCCTCAAGGTACAAACCAGAAAACCTTAAAGACTCAAACTCAACAGAGCCAACGCTAACTAAACTGTCTCCCTCACAGACTCCAGTGAACCAGCCCCCCAGGCCTGAACCAGTACCAGTGTTATTTCCATGTGCTTTTGTGAAACAATAAACCTGTTAAACTTTTATTCTGTCTCCGTGGTGTTCTGCATCTTGGGCCTCTCAGTAACCCATCATGACAGAACACTGCGGCCAAACACAAGGCCCAGCAGATCACCTCCGTCGTCTATTGAAGGAGCGGGAGGCTCAAATCCATGGACATGTCCAAGCTCTCAGTGAGTTAAACACCCACATTGAGTTACAAGACCAAGTAGTTCAAAACTATGCTAACCGCTTGAACAGAGCTAACGCCACACCAGCAGTACAGCCATGTCCGGGTCCAGTTCCGCCTCCGAGGTCACCGGCGGTGACGTCATCACTAGAGTTCCGCCCAAGTCTCCCGAGAAATTTTCTGGTAATATGAAGGACTGCAAGGGATTTTTGTTTCAATGCCGTTTAATTTTTCTAAACTCTCCTGGCAGTTTTTCCACAGATCATGTGAAAATAACCTTTATTTTGTCTCTATTGACTGGAAGAGCCCTGGAATGGGCTCAGGCAAGGTTTGCCTCTGACGAAAGCCTCAATTGTCAATACACCGATTTATCTCTGAATTTTCTCAAGTATTCAACCAAGAAACTGATCAAACCATTGACTCTCGTGCTCTTTTTGACCTTAAACAGGGAAGTTCTTCAGTGGCGGAGTTCTCCATTAACTTCCGGGTAAAAGCTGCAGCTTCCGGATGGAATCAAAGTGCTTTAAAGGGCGCTTATTTTATGGTTTTAAACGAAAGCATCAAGGATGAACCAGCAACCCTCGACGAACCTGCAACACTTGAAGAATCCATCCATCCATCATCCATCCATCATCAATTCATCCATCATTCATACATCCATTCATCCATCCATCATCCATTATCCATCCATCCATCCATCATCCATCCATCATCCATTATCCATCCATCCATCCATCATCCATCCATCATCCATCCATCATCCATCATCCATCCATTCATCCATCATCCATTATCCATCCATCCATCCATCATCCATCCATCATCCATCATTCATCCATCATCCATCATCCATCCATTCATCCATCATCCATCCATCCATCCATCCATCATCCATCCATCATCCATTATCCATCCATCATCCATCCATCATCCATCATCCATCCATCATCCATCCATCCATCCATTATCCATCCATCCATCCATCATCCATCCATCATCCATCATTCATCCATCATCCATCATCCATCCATCATCCATCATCCATCATCCATCCATCCATCCATCCATCATCCATCCATCATCCATTATCCATCCATCCATCCATCATCCATCCATCATCCATCATCCATCCATCATCCATCCATCCATCCATCATCCATCCATCCATCCATCATCCATCCATCATCAATTCATCCATCATTCATACATCCATCATCCATTATCCATCCATCCATCCATCATCCATCCATCATCCATTATCCATCCATCCATCCATCATCCATCCATCATCCATCAATCCATCCATCATCCATCCATCCATCCATCATCCATCCATCATCCATCCATCATCCATTATCCATCCATCCATCATCCATCCATCCATCCATCATCCATCCATAATCCATTATCCATCCATCCATCATCCATCCATCATCCATTATCCATCCATCCATCCATCATCCATCCATCATCCATTATCCATCCATCCATCCATCATCCATCCATCATCCATCCATCCATCCATCCATCATCCATCATCAATTCATCCATCATTCATCCATCCATCATCCATCCATCATCCATCCATCCATCCATCCATCCATCATCCATCATCCATCATCCATCCATCCATCCATCCATCATCCATTATCCATCCATCCATCCATCCATCATCCATCCATCCATCCATCCATCATCCATCCATCATCCATCCATCCATCATCCATCCATCCATTCATCCATCCATCATCCATCCATCCATCCATCATCCATCCATCCATCCATCCATCCATCATCCATCCATCCATCCATCCATCCATCCATCATCCATCCATCCATCCATCCATCCATCATCCATCCATCCATCCATCCATCCATCATCCATCCATCCATCCATCCATTATCCATCCATCCATCCATCATCCATCCATCATTCATCCATCCATCCATCCATCATCCATCCATCCATCCGTCCATCCATCATCCATCCATCCATCATCCATCCATCCATCCGTCCATCCATCATCCATCCATCCATCCATCCATCATCCATCCATCATTCATCCATCCATCCATCCATCATCCATCCATCCATCCATCCATCCATCATCCATCCATCCATCCATCCATCATCCATCATCCATCCATCCATCCATCCATCCATCCATCCATCCATCATCCATCCATCATTCATCCATCCATCCATCCATCCATCATCCATCCATCCATCCATCCATCCATCCATCCATCCATCATGGGCGACAGTGGCGTTGGATGTAGGAGGTTGCCCTGTAATCGGAGGGTTGACGGTTCAAGCCCCGACTCCGACTTTCATTGTCGTTGTGTCCTTGGGCAAGACACTTCACCTGCATTGTCTACTGATGGTGGTCAGAGGGCCCGGTGGCGCCAGTGTACGGCAGCCTCGCTTCTGTCAGTGAGCCCCAGGGCAGCTGTGGCTACAATGTAGCTTGCCACCATCAGTGTGTGTGTGAATGGGTGAATGAATGTAGTGTAAAGCGCTTTGGTCAAGTCTCCTAACTTGAATAAAGGCGCTATATAAGTACAGGACATCATTAATCCATCTATCCATCCATCCATCCATCCATCCATCCATCCATCATCAGGACTCTATATAATCTCTCTATGGTTATAATGAGAGATAATAATCTTTTCCAGTCAAAGCAGATAAACTTATTTCTGCTTTCTGAATGTTTTATAACCTGAACAGGTAGAAATGATGGAGTCTAAAATAGAGCAGCTGATGGAAACGCTGGCTGATCTGGTTCCCAGTGAGCTGCAGATCTTCTACAAGCTCTTGATGAAAACAATGAGCTGTGATTGGATTCCTGTGAAGAAGCTGGAGCAGCAGAGCTTGGTGTTTTCACTGGTGCGGACACACGCTGGACAGTGTGTGGAGGTAGCTAAGAAGATCCTAAAGTCTATGCGGAAGATAGATCTGCTGGAACAGATGGAGGACAGCGGCCCCAGAGCAAAAAGTAACGACGCAGACAAACCATCAACACCATGGGCAGGAAAATCAGCAGTAGATCAGTTATTTCTATACTCTAACTTTGCTGAATTTTCTCATTTCTCCACAGAAAAACGGTTTGATGAGCTTCTGTCTGCAGAAATCCACAGAGTGAGTGAAGACAGATCCCAAGAAAAACATTGCTGTTTTCATTCAGTTATCTGGTTTGTTTTAGGTCCCGTTAACTTCATATGATGCAGAAAGAAAGACAGACATTCATCTTTATTCCTTTACTTTTATACAGTTCATGATTAGAACATTTATATCATTTGATGAAGAATAGAAGCATGAATAGTTTAGATAGTTCTCAGGTATTAATGAGCTGATTAATACAAACATCCAGGCCTAATCTGGCATCAGAAACAAACCAAAATATTATGTTGAGCCTTCAGGTTTACCAGTTCATTGAATTCTTTGAATATTTTTACGATTTCTATCGTTCGCCAAACCTTAATGTCTTTAGACCCCCAAAGACTTGGAGCTCATTGAAAAACATGGATGATCAAAATAAATAAACATCGTCTTTGTATCATTTGGGAGATACTGATGCCTTTTAGAAGCATCATTGAAAAGAACATTTCTTGAATCTAAATGTGTTGAATAAATATAAGTGTTGCTCCACGGTTTGCAGACAGGATCTTTATCTCAGTGCTTTCTACTTTTGAATCCTTTAGGTTTCGGCCGTGGCTGTAACCAAAGATCTGGTTCTGGAAACGCTGAATGACCTGAAGGGAAGTGAATTCATGAAATTTAAATGGTTCCTGCAGCTGACTCAGTTCCAAAGGCGTCTTCCACAAATCCCATGGAGCGAGATGCAGTTTGCAAACAGGACAGACTTGGTGATGATGATGTGGACTACATGTGGTGACGAGTGTCTGCAGGTGACTGAGGAGGTTCTGACGGACATGAAAAGGTCTGATCTGGTGGAGAAGCTTCCAGTGCAAAGTTCCCGCTTTAAAGGTCAGAAGGAAAATATTCTTCTAAAGTTACTGCGATTCTTTTCAGTTCTGTTTGGTAAAACATGTTTAATTATAGTGAAGTAGAGATTCTTCAAAAACCAAAGTCAGGAATGACAAATTATAGATAAAAAGTTTTGTTTTATATTATTTATATAACTTAATCTATTAAATTGCATAATATTTTTTCTAGATTTAATCTGAGGCTGCATCGAAATATTTGCTGTAATTTTGCACCAAAAAGTAAAAGTTTTTTGAGTGAAAGCTAAAACCTATTGTTTTATATATATATATATATATATATATATATATATATATATATATATATATATATATATATATATATTTACTCTCACAGTGAGAGAAATCTAGATTTGGACGTTTTCATTGTTTTAGGACTTTTTAGTGGAAATTCTCCATGTCTTAGGCTTGATTTGAGGGACGTTAAAGAATTCAGAAGAAATGAACCTTTATCTTAACTCGTTGGTTGTAGCAATAGCAGTGAAAATGGCCCACAGCATAACACTGCTGCTGTTTCAGGATTTACAGGTCGGGTTTGTTTAAAAAATAGTTCCAGTTAATTTGTGTAATTATGTTTTCATTGCTCTAAATTAGGGGTGCACCGATAAATCGGCCGGCCGATCGATCGGCCCCGATTTCCTTAATTTAGGGTGATTGGTGATCGGCCGATATTTACAAATGAAACCGATCTTAACCACCGATCTATTTACCTCCACAAGTGTCTTAAAGCTACAGTGTGTAATAATTACAGGGATATAAAGTCAGAAATTTAATATATTATACATAACTATGTTATTTATCATCACCTATGAGCTCAGCCTTTTAACCATAATATTTGCGTTGCCTTAGAATTCGTTATTTATAATTACATAGGAGCGGGTCTCGCAGCCATGGAGGCTGACATCTTTGCGCTACGGCAAGCGCAGAGCCAACAAACTAGCGATTGCGAGATCTCCCATTACGCTCGAAAATAACTACGGCAAGTTGAGAGAGATTAACTGAGACGGTACTGAACAGTAGATGGCAGTATTATGCCTGAGAAGCGTTTAGTCTGCCTGAAACCAAAGAAGAAGAAGAAGCAGGTATACTGCGCCTCAGTAACAAGAAAGGTGAACAAGGCGGCAGGCGTGAGTGACTTTGCAAACTGTTTGGCACTGTGTGGCCAAACATCAGACGAATGGAGGATCATGCCTACACTGTATCACAACGAAAAGCGGCGGACACCGAACCCCCGTCATCTAAGAAGCGGAAACACGACGAGAATAAACGCAAGCGTGACAAGAAACGGCAAAAAACACGGATCAACATTGGCACGGCATTTCCACGATGGAAGTCACTGATGGAGGAAAAAGGTTTTCAAAGTGACGCTCAAGTTGCCAGTTTTCTCTTGGACAGGTAATTAATCCTACACACACAATTGTCTAATATCACTGCAGTTTTTGGAGTACAGGATGCTCAGACCTGTCTAAAACAATAACATGCTGCGTGATGATGCTGTTACTCTCCAGTATACTTATTCAGCAACGTCCCTGACGTTTCACAGGTAATGATTCAGTAATTTTCTGTAAAATAATTTTCTGGATATATACCTCGGTTACTTCTCTCCGGCTCCTTTGGAGATCTTCAAGCCTTTCCTCCTCTGCTCTCACCCCGCTGGCTCCCCTCTCTCGCCTGGCCCCAGCTGCACGCCCACCCCGCCCTCTCTGCCCTCGTCCTCTCCCTCTTCCTCGCGTTGTAACCCCCGTGCCACCAAAATGACTTGGACTCTGTAAACGGGGAATATATATTCTTCTAGCGAACACAATCTCGCTGTTAAACTAATGACTACAATTCCTTCGTCTGTTTATATCACCATGCAAAGCAGCTCACCAAAACGTCACAACGATGTAGAAAAAATAACGGGTATATTTATTATCTTAAGTCTACATGAAATCTATACCCTACACAGACTAATGAAATACTATCTGTAAAATTATCTATGTAAAAAAACCTCATCACTTGAGAAGGTAGGTGATGCGGACGTCGTGGAAGACATTTTGTCCCGTAACGCTCGCCGTACTGTTGGGGGGGAGAAGCTGTGGGGGGGAGATGTTCATGTTGCTGCGGTCTGCAGTCTGGACGTTAGATGTCGCTGAAAATTACACACTGTAGCTTTAAAATCAGTTGCTATTCCATATTTTTTCTGATCTTTTGTTTAAGTTTTGTTTTTTGAAATGTAAAAAAATCAAAAGACCAATGTTGTAGTCTTAAGTTTGTTTTACTTAATATTTATTATTTAATTCATATCTATGTCAAGGCTCTACCCAGTGTTGTGCCTGAACGCGTTCATTGAACGAAAGTTCATGAACTCGTTCATATTTTGGGCGAACGTGAACTGAACGTACTGCATTACTGTCTGATGAACGTTATTGTGAACTCGTTCATTCTGGTGTCTGTGAACGGCACGCTCTCTCAGTTCAGCTCCGTTCAATAGGTTGCCAGATTTCTATAGAGTCCTCCAGGCGAAACCCCGGCTAAATCACACCGTAAACAGGCCTTAATATGTAGCGGGAAAAACACCCAATCTGGCAACACCAGCTACCAGTGCAGCGTGGAGGCGACAAAGCAGCAGTATGATCACTTAAAACAGTTTTATGACCAGGTGGTCGGTGAGGATGATGGCAACAAGTTTGCCCGCCGGCTTTCAGTAAAAAAATCCGCACTTCAGTAACCTTAAATTCCTACCTCAGCCTGGTCCCTCAGTTTGTGTTAGTAAAATGTTCTTGAGCGGAGGTCTTCAACAGGGGATCCGCGACCCCTAGGGGGTCTACGGAGGTACTGCATGAGGGTCTGCATGGTTAGTTGATATTTTTATATCCCCCCCCTGCAATTTTTTTCCCCACTAATTGAAATGTCTTTAAATAATCATTAACATAAAATCAACACACTGTAGTAAACAGATAAATGGAGGCAGAAGATGTCTTTCAGTCATCAATGCTCACATTCAGCGACACACAGGAGCTCTTTCAAGCTGGGCACCGTTTCCTTCACAACAACCAGGAATCAGAATCAGAAAAACTTTAATAATCCCAGGGAGAAATTAATTTCTTTACATTACTCCATCTGTAATAGAGTGACTATAGGACACAATTTCATACAATATATATAGTTAGGGGGTCCCCGCTCCATCTCGCCATCAGTTTGGGGGTCCTTGGTCTGGAAAACATAGAAGACCCCTGTTCTTGAGGGTTTTACTATCCATGTAACTTGTTTGTTAAACCTGCCTGGTATAATTTTCCAGGATTCCAGTATTCCTTTTTGGTATGTATTGAAATGGAATTTCAAATGGAAAAAATTATTAAAATAAAAAAAAACATTTGCACCTTAAAGACTACTTTCCTATTTTTCTTTTAATAATTACTCATAAAAAAGACCATTCAAGCAGGACATTTTTCCTGATGTTTTTGAGAATATACTGTAGGGGTGAAAGCTGCAGCTGCTACTAGTGTGAAGTGAATGGACAGCAACAAAGCGTTAAAGCAACAATGGGGAAATGCTGTCCCCTCAATGCTAATGTAAACCCTGGTTGGATAAGGATTCAAAACTGGATATGAAGATGAAATCTGACGCACAGTTTCAGAGTTACAACTGATAAAATAATTGCTGTCTGTGGTTCTACAGTAGGCTATGGTGTAATTGAGCAATATATGAAAAAAAAAAAAAGAACTATGAACTAGTTCATTTTTTGGTTTTGAATTATGAACTATGAACTGAACTAGTTCATTTTAAAATGTGTGAACTGAACTTTGAACTAGTTCACGTAGAAAGAGAACTTTCCCAACACTGGCTCTACCTCATGGGCAGTTAAAACAAGTTTATAAAGGTTCAAGGCTATTGTTCAAGGGCATGTTTTTCAAGAAAAGATTGTAACATTGACAGTGAATTACGATCTTGTAACACAGTGTTGGTTATAGCAAAAAAAAATAATAAAATCGGTATTAACCAAAAATCGGAATCGGCAGGTCAGATTTTTTAAAGATCGGTGATCGGAAATCGGCCGGAAAACTGCAATTGGTGCACCCCTACTCTAAATGGCAGCCGGACATTTCTGGAAATCATCCTAATGACAGATGAAAACTGCATTACACTTTAAATGCAGCAGGTGGCAGTATTTAGACGCCTAAGGCTAAACAGGGAAATATCAAAGAACAGATAATTGTTTCCTTTATTGAGAGCAATAAAACTAAACAAAAGAAAAATAAAATAATGCTACACCCATTCAGTTGAAAAATAAAGAAATAAATAACCCTATTTCTTATTTTCTCTATGGAATTTATATCAAAGCAATTTTACACAAACCATGTTTGAGTATAAAGCCTAGAAATGAGCTGAACCATTACCTTTGCTTCCAGTGAAGGCCTCTGTGAGCGAAGCTTGGCCTGAACTGAAGCAGGAAGTGAGTAACTGGTTGATAAGTCAGATCCACCAACAGCTGAACTCTGTTTTTCCTCTCAGCTTTAATCCCGGTTTTCCTTTCCCAGGTAAGATACATGGAGTCCATTATCAAGTGGCTGCTGGAACAGCTGGATGGTCTGACTGTCAGGGATCTAAAAGATATCCAGAAGATCCTTAGTTGGACCCGGTGCAACAGTCCGTACTTATGCGTCTCATCGAGGCTTCTGGGCATGGAGGCTGACCTGCAGGACACTGTGTTTCTAATGGTGCAGACCTACAGCCACCATCCTGTGGATAAGATGGTGAAACTGTTCCAGAGCATGAACAGGGAGGACCTGGTGTTTAATCTCATTCAATCCACAGAAAGTAAGATTAAAGCTTAACAGACATTATGATATCAATATTTTATCATGTAAACATGCCCTGCTTCTTTCCAGAAACTTTATGAGAGGAAACGGAGCTCCAGTGTCATCCAGAAAGTGAGTAATAATCCAACCTCCATGCTGCAGAAACGGCCCAAAGAATAAAAACCAGATTTAGCATAAAGTGAGATTAACCAATGCAAAGTAAAAATCCTCTAAATGAAAAACATTTTCTTAGAAATCCTGGTAGTTTTCTCAACTATTCTTTAATTACCAGATAAATACGTATTATTGTAGATTAGATTTAGAGAATCTGTCTCATTATTGGACTTCTGTGCAAGTCATGGATTGTCCATAATGAACACCATGTTCAAGCATAAGGATGTCCATCGGTGCACTTGGCACCAGGACACCATAGGCCGAAGGTCGATGATCGACTTTGTAGTCGTATCTTCTGATCTTCGGCCGCATGTCTTGGACACTTGGGTGAAGAGAGGGGCGGAGCTATCCACCGACCACCACCTGGTGGTGAGCTGGATACGCTGGAAGAGGAAGAAGCCTGAAAGACTCGGCAGGCCCAAACGTGTAGTGAGGGTCTGCTGGGAACGTCTGGTGGAACCCTCGGTCAGGGACGTGTTCAACTCCCACCTCCGGGAGCGCTTCTCTCAGGTTACGAGGGAGGTTGGAGACATGGAGTCCGAATGGGCTGTGTTCTCTGCCTCTATTGTCGATGCGGCTGCCCGTAGCTGTGGCCGTAAGGTTTGCGGTGCCTGTCGTGGTGGCAATCCCCGAACCCGGTGGTGGACACCGATAGTAAGGGATGCTGTCAAGCTGAAGAAGGAGTCTTATCGAGCTTGGCTGGCTTGTGGGACTCCTGAAGCAGCAAGCAGGTACCGTGAGGCCAAGCGTGTCGCGGCCCGGGCGGTTGCAGAGGCAAAATCTCGGGCCTGGGAGGAGTTCGGAGAGGCCATGGAAAAAGACTATCGGTTGGCCTCAAAGCGATTCTGGCAAACTGTCCGGCGCCTCCGGAGGGGAAAGCAGTGCTTCACTAACACTGTTTTCAGGGGGAGTGGGGAGCTGCTGACCTTAGAGGAGGATATTGTCGGACGGTGGAAGGAATACTTTGAGGATCTCCTCAACCCGACAGACACGCCTTCCATGGGGGAAGAAGAGATGGGGTGCTTGGGGCTGGATTCGTTCATCACCCAGGCTGAAGTCACCGAGGTGGTCAAAAAACTCTACGGTGGCAAGGCTTCGGGGGTGGACGAGATCCGTCCTGAGTATCTTCGAGCTCTGGATGTTGTTGGGCTGTCATGGTTGACAGGTCTCTTCAGCATCGCGTGGAGGTCAGGAACAGTCCCCCTGGATTGGCAGACTGGGGTGGTGGTTCCCCTCCATAAGAAGGGGGACCGGAGGGTGTGTTTCAACTATCGGGGAATCACACTTCTCAGCCTCCCCGGAAAGGCCTATGCCAGGGTGCTGGAGAGGAGAGTCCGGCTGATTGTCGAACCTCGGCTGCAGGAGGAGCAGTGTGGTTTTCGTCCTGGCCGTGGAACGGTGGACCAGCTCTACACCCTCTGCAGGGTGATGGAGGGTTCTTGGGAGTTTGCCCAACCAGTCCACATGTGTTTTGTGGACTTGGAGAAGGCATTCGACCGTGTCCCTCGTGCTGCCCTGTGGGGGGTGCTCAAGGAGTATGGAGTCGGGGGCCCTTTATTAGGGGCCATCCGTTCTCTGTACAAGCGGAGCAGGAGTCTGGTTCGCATTGCCGGCATTAAGTCGGACCTGTTCCCAGTGCATGTTGGACTCCGACAGGGCTGCCCTCTGTCACCGGTCCTGTTCATAACTTTTATGGACAGGATTTCTAGGCGCAGCCAAGGACCGGAGGGGGTCTAGTTCGGGGACCAGCGGATCTCGTCCCTGCTTTTTGCAGATGATGTAGTTCTGCTGGCTCCCTCCTGCCAAGACCTACAGCGTGCGCTGGGGCGGTTTGCAGCCGAGTGTGAAGCGGCCGGGATGAGAATCAGCTCCTCCAAGTCCGAGGCCATGGTTCTCGACCGGAAAAAGGTGGCTTGTCCCCTTCAGGTTGGAGGAGAGTCCCTGCCTCAAGTGGAGGAGTTCAAGTATCTTGGGGTCCTGGTTACGAGTGAGGGAAGAATGGAGCGGGAGATCGATAGACGGATCGGTGCGGCTGCTGCAATAATGCGGACGCTGCAACGGTCTGTCGTGGTGAAGAGAGAGCTGAGCGAAAAGGCAAAGCTCTCAATTTACCGTTCGGTCTACGTTCCTACCCTCACCTATGGTCATGAAATTTGGATCATGACCGAAAGAACGAGATCCCGGATACAAGCGGCTGAAATGAGCTTTCTCCGCAGGGTGGCTGGGCTCTCCCTTAGAGATAGGGGGAGGAGCTCGGTCATTCGGGAGAGGCTCAGTGTAGAGCTGGTTCACCTCCACATCGAGAGGAGTCAGTTGAGGTGGCTCAGACTTCTTCTTCGGATGCACCCTGGACGCCTCCCTCGGGAGGTGTTCCAGGCACGTCCCATTGGGAGGAGGCCCAGGGGACGACCCAGGACACGCTGGAGAGACCATGTCTCTCGGCTGGCCTGGGAGCGCCTAGGGCTTCCCCCAGCAGAGCTGGAGGAGGTGTCAGCGGAGAGGGAAGTCTGGGAGTCTCTGCTTAGTCTGCTGCCCCCGCGACCCGGTTCCGGATAAAGCGGGAGACGACGACGACGACGAGATTTAGAGAATTGAACAAAGTTCACACTGTTCTGAATATTTCAGGTGGCATTAATGGCAGCTGTTAAACATCTGCTCCTGGAAACCTTCAACTCTCTGAGTCAAGCTGAGTTTTTTCAGCTCAAGAGGCTCCTTTACCCGAATTCCTCACAAACCACAAAGTTGAGTTTGACAGAAATGGTGAATGTAATGGTGGAGGAGCTGGGAGCAAAGGCTGTGGAGGAAACCAGGAAAATCTTCAAGCACATGAACAGAGCCGATCTGCTGGAGGTGCTTCCAGAGACCGGCTGTGGAACAGGTCAGGACCTGCTCCACATCTTGTTTTCTGTATAATGGAAAGCTCTGTGTTTACGCCTTGAGGCTTACATTTATCTGCAGATGATGTCATCATCAGAGCGGTTTTGGGTTTAGTAGAAAACAGACATGAATGCTGAACTGTTACTGAGGTGTTCAAAGAGAAACAGGGATTCAAAATGTAAGCAGTCGAGGACAGTTCCATGTGGTACACCACAGGACAAGCTTTCCTGATAGATCCTCCTTCTCACATATAAAGCCTTAAATGGCCAGTTGCCTTTTGTATCTATGCTTCTTTTTCTATGTCTGCTTCTGTCTCCTTGAACCCCAGTGGGCCTCAGCAGATGGCCGCTCACACTGAGCCTGGTTCTGCTGGAGGTTTCTTCCTGTTCAAAGGGAGTTTTTCCTCTCCACTGTCGCTACAAGCATGCTTAGTGTGAGGGATTGCTGAAAAGTCAATGAGTCGATGCAATCAGCTGGTTTTCCTTAGATAGAAAACTTTGAATCAATCTGACTGGATGATCTGGATCTATAAAGTGACCTGAGATGACATGTTGTGAATTGGAGCTATAGAAATAAACTGAAAGCTTTAAAACTGATGCCTAAGGAAAAGTTAGAAAAATATGTCCAACATTTAGTAAGCATAGAGATGGACAGACCTGCCAGCCACATTAAACTCATTGCTGTGATGTCAGAGAAGATGCTGATTCACCTCCCTGTGTTTCCAGAAATCCCATCTACATGTTTGGATGCTGTGAAAAGTGAAAGTCCAGAGGTAATCCACCTGCTCCATTGTCCTCGTCTGTAATCCTGTATTTCATCTACATAACATCTAAAAAGTATAATCTGGACGGATGTCCTGCAGCTGGACTCCAGCAGCTGGACCAAAGTTGACCCTGAGGTGGACAGGACATCTCCAGATGAAGCACAAACATTCAGGTCAACATCAGAGCAGCAGCTGAGTAGAAAGCAGAGCTCAGCGGCTCGTTTTTAAATCTTTATTCGTGTTAATAAACCAACGACGCACATGAGCTTTAAAAGCTTCTTCTTTCTCTTTAATATCAGCCTCCGGTCTGAAGCGGGCCGCTTTGAATGCAGCGTCTCTGGTCTGCGTTGGTTCTGCCAGGAAAAGGTGGCCTTTAGGTACCGGTTCTGCTCGTGGGATGGCCACATGGAGAGGATGGAGAGCAGAGGATACAGGCCTGCAGGTCCTTTAATGGACATCACTGTCTCTACTGGGACGATGCTGGAGGTCCAGCTGCCTCACTGGGTCCACATCGGTAGGAGAACTTTAAGGGAAAAGCTTTTCAGGACACATTCAGATCATTTTCACTGAGCATCTCTTGCTGCTGTGTTTGCAGAAGATGTTCCTGAGTTATTGGACAACTTTGCTGTCCTGCATGTAACAGACTATGGAGATGTCCTGGAAAAAGTGGCCCGGGTCACAGAGACTCATCTCACGTTAACAGAACCAGCTTTCTCCTTGTGGGCACCTCTTCTAAACATCTTCTTCTCTCCACGAATCAACTGCTGTAACACATTAATATACTATCAGCCCAACAAGCCGTTCCTCAAGCTGCACGTTTACCTGATCCTGCCGGATCCTGCTCTGAAACAGGTGGTTATTTATTTCATCATCAAGTCCTTCATTTATCAACAATATTACATCATTTGGAGATCAAATCTGTCTCAACTAAAGTCCCTCCATTAATCTCCTTCTGCACAATATTCAGAGGATCCTGAACATCGAGTAGAAACAGGAAAACTTCTGCTTAAAGCATTTCTATTTGATTGAGAACAAACAAAAGTGTCCAGGTTAAGAGGAGGTTTTTGACGACCCAAATGCAGAGGGGAGCTTTGAAGATTGAATTAATTGTCCAAGGCAACAGAGGCAAAAATTCAAAACACAAAATGCTGATAACCTGAAGGAGAACAGGCGAGGGGAGCAAGAAGACGATAGAACTACAAAACAACGAGAAACCAGCACTGAGTGACTGCAGAGGTGGTGTATAGATATGGAGCAGGTGTGAGTAGAACTAACTAGAAGGGAGCCAAGGGGAAAGGAAACAAACACAAGGGGGCAGCAGAGAGTAACTAAAGAAATACCAAACTGACAGAAAACAAAGACACAGAATAACATGGAAACTAAATATAAACTTAAACAAAGGGCAGAACTCTGATTAAAAGACTGATTTACGTATTTTCAGACGTATTTGAACTTGCTGGAATCCGTCTTTTAGATTTGGTGCCATAAATCCAAAGATGGGCTTCCCTTACCTAGAGAGAGGACTCTGCTGTGACCAGTTATTTCTGTCTTTGCTCTTCTTGGAGAAACATCTGGACTGTTTGCTGTCCTTTCAGTCGATCTACAAAGATGAAACCTCTGGGGGGTATGAAGCAATCAAGAAGCCCCACCCAGACCAGCGTCTGAAGATGGACTGTGGTTTCACCCTCAAGGCTTCCGTAGAGACCGCCCACATTCAGCCCCCGGTACCGTTTGACCCTGCTCTGAGAAATGTGGTGTTCATTCTAGGTCCACTTTGATTCTGCTGATTAGATTTTATTACCAAAGCACCAAAGTGCTTCTGCTACTAAAAGGTTCTGGGAACCTTTTGGACTGGTTCTAGTCCAGCTGAGTCAGACCAGCTTGTTTTTCATGTTTCCTCACAGCAAATAACTCTGAGGCACGTCAGCCAGGATCCAAACTTCTACGAGGTGTTCATTGAGAATCCAGACAGAAAGTTTAACCTGGAGCTGCTGCAGACCGGTTCAGAAACAGTTTGGTTCTGTGAAATTCGTAAAGGTCAGTTTGTTCCATAAATATCACCTCTGTTTTCCTTCAGGACCATAATACTACAAGATCTTTAAATAAAACTATTTAGGTTGGTGTTAAAGATCTGATGCAGGAAATCTGCAACCGTTTTATTGAACAAAGAATTTGTATTTTTAGTTTATAACTCTTTAAAACCAAGTTTATAATATTTGAGTTTCTGAGAACTTCACATCAGCAGGGAAATATTCTGTTCTGGAAAAACTGGGTTTATCCAATCAAAATGGTTCAAATAGGGACAAAACAAACATTTAATGAAGCGGAAGCATCGATTTTCTTCTATAGGATGATTGTTTTAATAAAACATAACAGTTTTCAAGTTATTTACAAGAAATATTGATCTAAAAACCTATTCCTGATTCTTTAATGTCATTCTATTGTGTAAAATATTCTTTAAAACTCCTCAGAATGTTATTTATTAATAGACTTTATTCCAAGCCATTAGTTGGTTGTTTTCATCGTTCAGACACTATTAAGAGCCATTGTAGGGTCCAAAGAGCTGCATGCCAGAGCTGGAAAGCTTTTTAGTCAGATGCATCACTGAATTAAACATGGTGGTGTTGGCATCATGCTGTGGGGACGTCTCACTGCTAGTCCTGCTGCTGCAATTTCCCCCTGGAATCAGCAGTGATGTGGTTAAAACCCGACCAGAAGCAGGAATTCCAGCAGAACATTGGTCCAAACCCACATTAACTGGTTCTGGAACAGAAACAAAAGCAGTTTAATGATTATTAATGAAGGGAGCCAAGAAAACTGAATGGAAAACATTGAGACTGTTTTTCTTCCTTTTTATACAGATGATTATCCTAAATCTGGTTTGTCTGCAGGTAAGATGCTCAATTTATTCAACTTTCATTCATAGATTATAGCCACACTTAGTGTCTAAATGAAAGGTGGATAAAATGGTTAAAAAGTAGCTGGAAACGTTGCAGTTTTGTGGTCAGAGCGACTTACAGATGGGAAGCCTTTGATGCATCAGCTGACTGTTGTTTTCTCATTATGAGGGAATTAAAACCTTCCCAGCAATAATCCCTCTGTGTTCCTGTTTCTCTCTCTGTGTCAGATGGAGGATCTTCAACAGAAGCTGTAGCTGTGAAAGCAGAAGGTAAGAAGTGGAAGAAAATCACTGGAAGTTACAGAAAGCATCACTCTGTTCACCGGAGAAATTAGAGAAACAACGACAAATACAGTGAGAGGAAACTGTCATCAGACTGCTCTCTATATTAAATAAAACATTAAAGGCTTTTTCTTTCATTACAGCAGATAGGATCAGGGGCGGATCTAGAAAAATATTTATGGGGTGGCGAGAGGGGGGCAGGAATTTTTTAGGGGTGGCAACATATGGCATATGTTTCCACTGAATTTAATCACAGTTATCACAGTTTGGTGAGAATAGTTGTACAGTCAGTGTTTCATGTGAAACAGTTCATATTAGAAATACATCGTATAATGTGATCTAATAGGAGATAGAAGAATGATAACACTACTTCTAGAGCGGCATTATTACAGGTATTAAGGTAAGACACAGGTGCTGAGTAGTAGATGTGTGAGATTGACTGACAGCTTTGCAGCATTTGCACAAGAAGAAACTATAGAAAGAAAAAGTTGAGCAGAACTACACTGTAGAAATAAATGTAAAGGCACCAAACAAGGTACCAGACATCTATGTAATGTTTACTCTGAACACACATTTACCCCATTTGTTCCTCAGTAACTTGACATACAGCAGTTAAGGCAACATGAAAGGGACATTTCATGCATGTAGATCTGCTGTAGATAGATCTGCTGTATCAACAAATCAACATAAAGGCAGGTACTGAATGTTACAGCAAAATCTCCACTAATCTGAAAAGAAGCAACACGAAAATACATTTTGCTTCCAGTCTGAAAAAGAACAAAACATTTAGTGAGTAGGTTCATACGGGTCATTTCTGGATAGTTTCATATTATATATGCAAAAAAAGAAACATCAACACTGCTTCATATTTAGCAGGATTCACACCAGTATCACATTTTTAACTTTTAACACTTTTGGTTTTATTAAAGGAAATATCAGATTTTCTCAGGTGCCAAAACAAAATGTAACAGCTCTGTAAAGGTTCACCAGAGAGCAGAACATAAAGTTAACATGACTATAACAGCTGAATGCAGTGATTTCCATGCTGCTCAGCAAAACGATTCACTAATGTATTTAGATCCAATCCCTTTGTGCGTTTTGATTTGAGTTCAACCAAACTTGATCGTCTCTTTTCTGTCATAGTTGACCGCAAATATGTCTTTATGAGGCTGAGACGTCAGGCCTAACTAACATCATAGTTAGAGAAATAACGTTCTGCAACCTGATTTTTATCATCTGTAAATCAGCATTGCAGCTATGCTAGCAACATTGTGCTTTCATTATGATTTCATTTCTCCATAGATAGTTAATCAGTTTTTACCTGTTTCATCCCGTGTCTCCTCCCCCCATCACCCCTGGCTCCCTCGCTTTGCCCCGCTCGGTTTTCAAAACAATCAGTCTCAGTCGCTCTTGCGTCATCTCGTGCTCCATTCACTGCAGTCCGACATTGGAAATTAGCGGTCGTAATTCTCAAATTGTCCATAATTTATAAGCCTCGCCACCCCTACAGCTAACTGGGGTGGCAAGGCTGTCATTTAGGGTGGCAGTTGCCACCCTATGCCACCCCAGTAGATCCGCCTATGGATGGAATCTGTTCTGATTTCTCCCCAGAGGAGCACTTTGTGGACAAACACAGAAAAGAGCTGATCCAGAGAGTGAGCAACATCAAACCCATTTTAGATGGACTTTTCCAGGAGAAAGTTCTCCTGGATGAGGCCTACGACAGAATAAGATCTCTAGCGACCTCCCACGATCAGATGAGGGAGATATTCCTCTGCATGAAAGCTGGAGATGCCTGCAAAAATATCTTCCTCTCCATTCTTCAAGAGAATGAAAGATTCCTCATATCTGAGCTAAAGGGTTAACGAGTCGACCAGAGCGACCCAGACTAGTTAGTGATGGTTACCTGCATTTGGACTGACCTCTTTTAAAGCTATTCTGGAGGATTTTTTTCACCCTTTACACAAATAAATATATTTCTTTAAATAAATCAAAATTAGGCTTAAAATTAATAAAATAAGGACAAAAACATTTAATGAAGAGGAAGCATCAATTTTCTTCTATAGGATATTAATATATTATTTTATTTAAAACATTAACAGTTTAAGTTATTGACAAGAAATATTGATCTAAAAACCTATTTCTGATTCTTTAATGTTATTTTGTTGTGAAAATTCTATAAAAAATTTTTTTAAATATTCTTTAAACTCCTCAGAATGTTATTTATTAATAGACTTTATTCCAAGCTATTAGTTGGTTGTTTTTATCGTTCAGACACTATTAAGAGCCATTTTAGGGTTCAGCATGTTAGAATCAGATGCATCACTGATTTATTCCTAAAATGAAGGTAACTGGTTACAGGAAGATGATCACCCTGATTAATAGTGAGCTGCTTGATCTTTACTGCTGTGGCGTCAGAAGTTACTTTAATATGAGAAAGCCTGAAAAACAGAGAGAAGGCAAAAAAGGTAAAGAACAGGAGAAAATAAAAATAAAAATGGTCTCTAATCAAGTCTCTGCATCACACTTGCAACATTATTTTTGCACCACCGATGGTTGAAACTTTTATAATCCTTTTAAATAGAACAGAACTCCATGTTCTACTGGATTTTGGACCATTTTATTTATTTTGCATTGAACCTTGATCCATATCAAAGCTGTTCTGCTTCATTATTTCTATACTGGTTTCATTTTCCCCTACATAGTTTATATTCTTATAGCTGCTACACCATAAATGGTTCATTCCCTGTTTTAAGCTGTAAGCAACGCAATAGTTTGTCTCCAAGTCTAAAGTATTTCATAAAAAAATGTAATTCTAGAAATAAGTTTTCAACAACATAAAGCTGACAGAAACTAGACTAAAACCTTTTTTAGTTTTAGTCGACTAAAGTGGGACTAAAACTAATAAAAGTGCATCAGAGATGCAGTTTAAAACATTTTCTTTTCGTTGTGGATTTTTGTAATCAGGATAACTGGGATCATTCAACGTTGGTTTGTTCTCTACTTCCAAAAACTTCATTCATGCCTGAGGTGAGAAGTTTGTCTGCATTTGATGAAACTTTTAAGCCAGTCAGTATAAAATCAATATTTTTTATAGAGATGCTTCCTGGTGTGTTGAAGTACCAAGAGTTTGCATCCAATAATTCAACTAAACGTAGATCTGTTATAATGAAATTTTAAAATGGGTGTGATTGGAATAATTGATCTCAACTGGAGCTTAAAGTATCTCGGCTCCGTTTTTCGATGCTGAAGGACAGAAGAGGCGGACGGTGACGTTGGAAGGAGTATTGGTGGATGAACAGTTCTGATTGATTCACCTGATGGCTGCTCTGCTGGATGGATGTGAGCGGAGTGCAGCAGTGAAGGAGGAGGAGTCAATGGGTGATTGACAGCCAGTGATGTGCCAGGGTAGTTATGACCAGCAGAATGAATGTCCCCTCACTGGAAGCCATGAAGAGCTTCACCGCAGCCCAACTCCATAACGGTAGAATATCATACAGAAGCTGTAAGTCAATGAAAAACACAAATATATATTTAAGCACTGAATATGACAGGATAAAGTTGAGAGTCAACCCAAGGAAGGCCCCAGGGCCTGATAACACACCTGGGCAGGTGTATAAGGAGTGGTCAGATCAGCTGGCTGGTGTCCTCACAGACATCTTTAACACCTGGAGGAGAAGAACACCAACGATGGATGCTGTTCCTGGACTTCAGTTCAGCTTTCAGCACCATCATCCCACAGCATCTGATGGGCAAACTGGAGCAGCTGGGCTTCAATACACCCCTCTGCTATTGGCTGCTAGACTTCCTCACCAACAGACCTCAGTCAGTCCGGGTCGGACAGAACACCTCTGATGTTGGCTGCTAATAATTATATTACAGGCGTGCTGGAAGCTGTTTCAAGCGAGGGGGGCTGATGGCTCGGTTGGAAAACACGTGACGTCATTATGTTGAGGGCTGTGGCTGACGTTTTTAACGTAATATTGTAGGCCTACATTTGTCGCCAAAAACTGCCATTTAAAATAAATCGGAACAAAGCATGAACATTTTAAACTTTATTTCTTCTCTTTTAATCATTCAAAACAAACAACAGCTCCCAATCAACAGGATCAGGAATACTTGAATGAAACATGGCCTAAATATAGCCTAAACTGAGCATTGAACGTCTTGAAAGTCCATTCGACTACGGATATGAGGAATGATTTCATATCTGAAACAAAAAACACACAAAAAAAACAAACAAATTTCATATTTTATCACTAATTAGCTTAATACAGACATAATATTTAGTGATATGCAGCCTTATTCTAGCGTAGACTTCTTCAGCCACAGGACTAAGACGAATAGGCACAGCATATAGAAATAAATAAGAAATAAATAACGCTAAATAAATGCTCGGCGGCAGTATAGGGGAATTAAAACCATTTCTTACCTCGAAATAGTCAGAAATACGTTTCTGCTGCCTATTGCTAGCCATGCCTGAACGAATGTGAGGTGGCGGAAGCTTCCGGGGGAGTAGCCTAGTTTTTTATGAAATATTAAAATAATGAATCATTAGTTTATATCTTATACACAGCCCATCATTTTAATCCCATATCAAACACAGTCTTTTAAAAAATAAATACATAAATAATTTCATGTTTTTAAGTACAATATTATGTTACTCCACAGCCCCCCACCATGGGGGGCTGATGCTATGACGAGGGAGGCTGCAGCCCCCGCAGCACCCCCCTTCCCGTGCCACTGTTATATTATATTTTTATATTTAAGAAGAAAGATCCGCTGGTTTTCAGTCAGCTTCCTGTTTTGAAGAATTCTTTTTTAATCACCGCTGATATTCTGCTGAGAAATGAAGAATAAAATAAAAACATTTATCTTTCTCCGGTTCAGAGGGTTGGATCTGAGGCGGAGAGACTCCAGCGGCTCTTCCTTCTCTCTGTGCGCTCCCTACTCTGTGCGCGCTCCCGCTGAGGCCGTTCCTGTCGGGGTTACCGACCTTCTCACCACACCTGCTTCGCTGCGTTGCTTTCGGTTTCTGCAGCTCCTGTTGTCAGAGAAATGCCTCCGAAGAGCATCAAGATGCTGCTGCTGGACTCCCTGGAGGACCTGTCCGCAGAAAACTTTGACAAGTTCCGCTACGCTCTGCTGGATCGCCGCGAGGAGCCGCGGGTCCGACGCTGCAGGGTGGAGGGCAAGAGCCGCCTGGAGGTCGTGGACGTGCTGGTGTCCACTTTCACCGAGGAGAAGGCAGTGGGAGTCACCGAGGAGATCCTGAGGGAGATCCGCTGCATCCAGGAGGCAGACAGACTCGGTGAGGAGGAGGAGGAGGAGGAGGAGGAGGAGGAGGAGGAGGAGGAGGAGGAGGAGGAGGAGGAGGAGGAGGAGGAGGAGGAGGAGGAGGAGGAGGAGGAGGAGAAGCTCCAGAGCAGAGAGAAGGTCTCAGTCCTGCAGCTCTTAAAGGTGTCTCTGCTTCAACACCTGAGTCCGATAATGTCAGAACTGTGCAGAAGCTGCAGGCTGAGGAGGAGATCCAGGTGTGGAAGCAGAGGGTCACCATGGAGGTGGAGGACCTGCTGGACTGGATCTGAGGAGCTTTGCTCTGCAGGGTTGGAGGCACCTTCAGGTTTAGTTTAGTTTGGGCTCCATGGTTTCTGCATCATTTGAACAAACAAATTAAAATAAAACTGTTTTTGATCAAAATCTTCAGATTTTATGACGTCCAGAAAAGATTTAGATCGAAAAATAATTTTTTTTCCAAGCATTGGTTGTGTTTTTTATATTAAGCATCAGAAAATATTCCTGATGCTTAATATTCCTTAAAGCTACAGTGTGTAATTTTCAGCGACATCTAGCGGTCAGACTGCAGACCGCAGCAACATGAACATCTCCCCCCCACCGCTTCTCCCCCCCAACAGTACGGCGAGCGTTACGGGACAAAATGTCTTCCACGACGTCCGCATCACCTACCTTCTCAAGTGATGAGGTTTGTTTACATAGATAATTTTACAGATAGTATTTCATTAGTCTGTGTAGGGTATAGATTTCATGTAGACTTAAGATAATAAATATACCCGTTATTTTTTCTACGTCGTTGTGACGTCTTGGTGAGCTGCTTTGCATGGTGATATAAACAGACGAAGGAATTGTAGTCATTAGTTTAACAGCGAGATTGTGTTCGCTGGAAGAATATATGTTCCCCGTTTACAGAGTCCAAGTCTTGTTTGTGGCACGGGGGTTACAACGCGAGGAAGAGGGAGAGGAAGAGGGCAGAGAGGGCGGGGTGGGCGTGCAGCTGGGGCCAGGCGAGAGAGGGGAGCCAGCGGGGTGAGAGCAGAGGAGGAAAGGCTTGAAGATCTCCAAAGGAGCTGGAGAGAAGTAACCGAGGTATATATCCAGAAAATTATTTTACAGAAAATTACTGAATCATTACCTGTGAAACGTCAGGGACGTTGCTGAATAAGTATACTGGAGAGTAACAGCATCATCACGCAGCATGTTATTGTTTTAGACAGGTCTGAGCATCCTGTACTCCAAAAACTGCAGTGATATTAGACAATTGTGTGTGTAGGATTAATTACCTGTCCAAGAGAAAACTGGCAACTTGAGCGTCACTTTGAAAACCTTTTTCCTCCATCAGTGACTTCCATCGTGGAAATGCCGTGCCAATGTTGATCCGTGTTTTTTGCCGTTTCTTCTCACGCTTGCGTTTATTCTCGTCGTGTTTCCGCTTCTTAGATGACGGGGGTTCGGTGTCCGCCGCTTTTCGTTGTGATACAGAGTCGGCATGATCCTCCATTCGTCTGAACAGTTTGCAAAGTCACTCACGCCTGCCGCCTTGTTCACCTTTCTTGTTACTGAGGCGCAGTATACCTGCTTCTTCTTCTTCTTTGGTTTCAGGCAGACTAAACGCTTCTCAGGCATAATACTGCCATCTACTGTTCAGTACCATCTCAGTTAATCTCTCTCAACTTGCCGTAGTTATTTTCGAGCGTAATGGGCGATCTCACAATCGCTAGTTTGTTGGCTCTGCGCTGCCGTAGTGCAAAGATGTCAGCCTCCATGGCTGCGAGACCCGCTCCTATGTAATTATAAATAACGAATTCTAAGGCAACGCAAATATTATGGTTAAAAGGCTGAGCTCATAGGTGATGATAAATAACATAGTTATGTATAATATATTAAATTTCTGAATTTATATCCCTGTAATTATTACACACTGTAGCTTTAAAGCTACAGTGTGTAATAATTACAGGGATATAAAGTCATAAATGTAATATATTATACATAATATTATTTATCATCACCTATGAGCTCAGCCTTTTAACCATAATATTTGCGTTGCCTTAGAATTCGTTATTTATAATTACATAGGAGCGGGTCTCGCAGCCATGGAGGCAGACATCTTTGCACTACGGCAGCGCAGAGCCAACAAACTAGCGATTGCGAGATCGCCAAAACGTCACAACGATGTAGAAAAAATAACGGGTATATTTATTATCTTAAGTCTACATGAAATCTATACCCTACACAGACTAATGAAATACTATCTGTAAAATTATCTATGTAAACAAACCTCATCACTTGAGAAGGTAGGTGATGCGGACGTCGTGGAAGACATTTTGTCCCGTAACGCTCGCCGTACTGTTGGGGGGGAGATGTTCATGTTGCTGCGGTCTGTAGTCTGACCGCTAGATGTCGCTAACAGTTACACACTGTAGCTTTAAGCTTCAGGAATATTTGCTCTTTGGACAGATGATGTCGGAGCGATCAGACGCACAGTTCAGGAAGACCGACATATTTCCACTAAATGTTGCTTCTAAGTTTTACTGATTTATGGCGACAGATTTTAACTTCATTTCTTCTGATTTGTTTTACAGTAAAGGAGATGAGAGGATGATGACAGACGGTGAGTAACTGACATGTGTTTATTACAAAATAAGACATTTAAACTAAACTTTGAAAGAATTTATTTGTTTTTGCAGCAGCAGAACTGAAGACGGAGAAATCGCCTCAAATCCATTAATCCATCCATCATCCATCCATCCATCCATCCATCATCCATCCATCCATCCATCCATCATCCATCCATCCATCCATCATCCATCCATCATCCATCCATCCATCCATCCATCATCCATCCATCCATCCATCCATCCATCATCCATCCATCCATCCATCCACCATCCATCCATCCATCCATCCATCCATCCATCATCCATCCATCCATCCATCCATCATCCATCCATCATCCATCCATCCATCCATCCATCCATCATCCATCCATCCATCCATCCATCCATCATCCATCCATCCATCCATCCATCCATCCATCCATCATCCATCCATCATCCATCCATCCATCATCCATCCATCCATCCATCCATCCATCCATCATCCATCCATCATCCATCCATCCATCATCCATCATCCATCATCCATCATCCATCATCCATCATCCATCCATCCATCATCCATCCATCCATCCATCCATCATCCATCTATCCATCCATCCATCATCCATCCATCATCCATCATCCATCCATCCATCCATCCATCATCCATCCATCCATCATCCATCCATCCATCCATCCATCCATCATCCATCCATCCATCCATCCATCATCCATCCATCCATCCATCATCCATCCATCCATCATCCATCCATCATCCATCCATCCATCATCCATCATCCATCCATCATCCATCCATCCATCATCCATCCATCCATCATCCATCCATCCATCATCCATCCATCATCCATCATCCATCCATCCATCATCCATCCATCATCCATCCATCCATCATCCATCCATCATCCATCCATCATCCATCCATCCATCATCCATCCATCATCCATCCATCCATCCATCATCCATCCATCCATCCATCATCCATCATCCATCCATCCATCATCCATCCATCCATCATCCATCCATCCATCCATCCATCATCCATCCATCCATCATCCATCCATCATCCATCCATCATCCATCCATCCATCCATCCATCCATCATCCATCCATCCATCCATCCATCATCCATCCATCCATCCATCCATCATCCATCCATCCATCCATCATCCATCCATCCATCCATCCATCCATCATCCATCCATCCATCCATCATCCATCCATCCATCCATCCATCCATCCATCATCCATCCATCCATCCATCCATCCATCCATCATCCATCCATCATCCATCATCCATCCATCCATCCATCCATCCATCATCCATCCATCCATCCATCATCCATCCATCCATCCATCCATCCATCCATCATCCATCCATCCATCCATCCATCATCCACCCATCCATCCATCATCCATCCATCCATCCATCATCCATCCATCCATCATCCATCATCCATCCATCCATCCATCCATCCATCCATCCATCCATCATCCATCCATCCATCCATCATCCATCATCCATCCATCATCCATCCATCCATCATCCATCATCCATCCATCCATCATCCATCCATCATCCATCCATCCATCATCCATCCATCATCCATCCATCCATCATCCATCATCCATCCATCCATCATCCATCCATCATCCATCATCCATCATCCATCCATCCATCATCCATCCATCCATCCATCCATCCATCCATCCATCATCCATCTTTCATCCATCATCCATCCATCTTTCATCCATCATCCATCCATCCATCATCCATCCATCATCCATCCATCCATCATCCATCCATCCAGCCATCCATCATCCATCCATCCATCCATCCATCATCCATCTTTCATCCATCATCCATCCATCTTTCATCCATCCAGCCATCCATCCATCATCCATCTTTCATCCATCCATCCATCCATCCATCATCCATCCATCCATCCATTCATCATCCATCCATCCATCCATCATCCATCCATCCATCATCCATCCATCCATCATTCATCCATCATCCATCCATCCATCATCCATCCATCATCCATCCATCATCCATCCATCCATCCATCCATCATCCATCCATCCATCATCCATCCATCATCCATCCATCCATCCATCATCCATCCATCATCCATCCATCCATCATCCATCATCCATCCATCATCCATCCATCCATCATCCATCCATCCATCATCCATCCATCATCCATCCATCCATCCATCATCCATCCATCCATCATCCATCCATCCATCCATCCATCATCCATCATCCATCCATCATCCATCCATCATCCATCCATCATCCATCCATCCATCCATCCATCCATCCATCCATCCATCCATCATCCATCCATCCATCCATCATCCATCCATCCATCCATCCATCATCCATCCATCATCCATCCATCATCCATCCATCCATCATCCATCCATCATCCATCCATCCATCATCCATCCATCATCCATCCATCATCCATCCATCCATCCATCCATCATCCATCCATCCATCCATCCATCCATCATCCATCCATCATCCATCCATCATCCATCCATCATCCATCCATCCATCCATCCATCCATCCATCATCCATCCATCCATCCATCCATCCATCCATCATCCATCCATCCATCATCCATCCATCATCCATCCATCATCCATCCATCATCCATCCATCATCCATCCATCATCCATCCATCCATCATCCATCCAGCCATCCATCCATCATCCATCCATCTATCCATCCATCTTCCATCCATCATCCATCCATCATCCATCCATCCATCCATCATCCATCCATCCATCCATCCATCCATCATCCATCCATCCATCCATCCATCCATCATCCATCCATCCATCATCCATCCATCCATCATCCATCCATCCATCATCCATCCATCATCCATCCATCATCCATCCATCCATCCATCATCCATCCATCCATCATCCATCCATCCATCATCCATCCATCCATCATCCATCCATCATCCATCCATCATCCATCCATCCATCATCCATCCATCCATCCATCCATCCATCCATCCATCCATCATCCATCCATCATCCATCATCCATCCATCATCCATCCATCATCCATCCATCCATCATCCATCCATCATCCATCCATCATCCATCCATCCATCCATCCATCATCCATCCATCCATCCATCCATCCATCATCCATCCATCATCCATCATCCATCCATCCATCATCCATCCATCCAGCCATCCATCCATCATCCATCCATCCATCCATCCATCCATCCATCCATCCATCCATCCATCCATCATCCATCCATCATCCATCCATCCATCCATCCATCCATCATCCATCCATCATCCATCCATCCATCCATCATCCATCCATCCATCATCCATCCATCCATCATCCATCCATCCATCATCCATCCATCATCCATCCATCATCCATCCATCCATCCATCATCCATCCATCCATCCATCCATCCATCCATCATCCATCCATCCTCCATCCATCCATCATCCATCCATCATCCATCCATCCATCATCCATCCATCATCCATCCATCATCCATCCATCATCCATCCATCCATCATCCATCCATCCATCCATCCATCATCCATCCATCATCCATCCATCATCCATCATCCATCCATCATCCATCCATCCATCCATCCATCCATCATCCATCCATCATCCATCCATCCATCATCCATCCATCCATCATCCATCCATCATCCATCCATCATCCATCCATCATCCATCCATCATCCATCCATCATCCATCCATCTTTCATCCATCCATCCATCATCCATCCATCATCCATCCATCTTTCATCCATCATCCAGCCATCCATCCATCATCCATCCATCCATCCATCCATCCATCATCCTTCCATCCTTCCATCCATCCATCCATCCATCCATCCATCCATCCATCCATCCATCATCCATCCATCCATCCATCATCCATCCATCCATCATCCATCCATCCATCCATCCATCCATCATCCATCCATCATCCATCCATCATCCATCCATCCATCCATCATCCATCCATCATCCATCCATCCATCATCCATCCTTCAATCATCCATCCATCCATCCATCATCCATCCATCCATCATCCATCCATCCATCATCCATCCATCATCCATCCATCCATCATCCATCCATCATCCATCCATCCATCATCCATCCATCATCCATCCATCCATCCATCCATCATCCATCCATCCATCATCCATCCATCATCCATCCATCATCCATCCATCCATCATCCATCCATCCATCATCCATCCATCATCCATCCATCCATCCATCCATCCATCCATCCATCATCCATCATCCATCCATCATCCATCCATCCATCATCCATCCATCATCCATCCATCCATCATCCATCCATCATCCATCCATCCATCCATCCATCATCCATCCATCCATCATCCATCCATCATCCATCCATCATCCATCCATCCATCATCCATCCATCCATCATCCATCCATCATCCATCCATCATCCATCCATCCATCATCCATCCATCATCCATCCATCCATCCATCCATCCATCATCCATCCATCATCCATCCATCCATCCATCATCCATCATCCATCATCCATCCATCCATCATCCATCCATCCATCATCCATCCATCCATCCATCCATCCAGGTCAGAGACATAGTCCCAGCGTGTCCTGGTCCTTCCACCCGGCCTCCTGGAAGAGGAGGCCTCCATGAAACAAATCACTTCCTTCTGCTGTAATAAATAAACATGATGTCATAAAGCGTCTCATCTGCTCTGGTTTTTAACGTGTTCATGATCAGCAGTTCCTCAGAGTTTCTTCAGCGCCGCTCTTCAGCATCAGCATCCTGGACGGCTGCTGTCTGTAGATCCGATGACCTCTGACCCCTCCTGCTCGTTTCCAGGGCGGGTGCTGCAGATGCAGTCGACGCTCCATCACCTGGACGGACGGGTTCTGCAGGCAGAATCCGTCCTTTCAGATCAACGTCAGCAGAGATTCACCAGATGAGTCTGCAGCTGTGGGAGGTCTTAGATGTTCCAGACAGATTGGTGAACGCCTCATTTTAACGTCCTCATATTTTTCCTTTTTAAAACAACCGGTTGTTAAAAATCAGGAAGAGGCTAAGCTGCATTTTAAACCCGACTTCCTTCTGTGTAAAACATCTGAAGTGTTTCCAGCATTAATTATTTGTTTATAACCGAATATCGGACGAACATTTCTGTGATTATTGGTCCTCACAAATACATGATAAACATTCTTCCAAAGTGAAAATACAGAAACATGAAATCTAATCAGATCAATAAGAACCTACTCCTTAAAGTCTGTTTTATTCAAATACTAAGTTTCTATTTTTGAAGAGGAGGTGATACAGATTTAAAGCTGCGTATATTTTAACTCCTTCATTTTCAAACAAAGTCATTTTCCTTCTCTGTCAGAGAGAAACGGATGACGTCAGGAATCCTTCTGTTCTGTGTTCTCATCAGCACCATTTTCAAACGACCTCCATCTTTGGACGTGATGACGGCAGCAGACAGGCTGGATCGACCTCGTGCGGATTTAATGGCCGAGAAATCCGACAGTCGTCTGCATAGCGATAATATTTTCTCAGAACTGAACCTAATGAACACATGAAGAGAGAAGATAGTAAAGATCCAACAGCGGAGCCTTGTGGTACTCCCCTTTGCAGGGTTGTTTTTGTAAGGAAGTAGGTGTGGGTCTAAGACGGGATAATAAAGAGGTTTTAGCAGATCTAAACAGCCGCATGTTCAAAGGTTTTCAGCGTTACAGGGGATTCCAGAGAACTAATAATGACGGTTCCCACCGAGCATCATTTGGTGGAAACGACGATATTATTTACGTCCAAACGGCGTCCATATTGGTTGAAAGGTGAAATGCCGTAAATTTCAGATCGTTGCAAAAACATAAAAAATGGGTTTTCAACGTCTTTTTAACGTGTATCATTGGATTAAGATGGGACAAAGTCAGACGGACCAAACGGCCCAATGTTCAGCAACTATTTCTGGACTAAATCGAGGCAATGACGGAGCGACCACGTTTAGCCTTAAAACCGACCTCTGCATGACGTCTGGTGTTTGGGGGGTAATAAGGAGCCGCTAAAGACAAACCTCACTGAGGCTAGAAACCAGCAGCTGTAAGATGAGAAGGAAACAAGTTTAAACAAGTTTAAAATTAGCCAGTAAGTCTAGGCTTGATCTAAATTGTATGTCTCCTAAAGCCCAGATCACAGCGGCTTTTTCATCTCAATTATCTGCCATTTTTTCCCCATCAAAGCGAATGCAGTGACTAGAGAGCCGCTGAGGGCAGCAGATCCTGATGGGTGCAGATTTTATCACCTCTCTCCCAGTTCCCCCACAAATTAAGACCCCGTCCACACGAAGACGAACCCTGGCCTAAACGCACACATTTTTCACCAAACCAGCCTCTCATCCATACGAAGCCGGCGTTTCGGGGGTCTGTAAACGATCTTTTTTTTATTCAGCCTTCAGAGTGGGAAGATTTCGAAACGCCGTTTTCGCGTTTCCATCTTTACGCCCTAACCGCATATTTTTTTTTACACGCATGCGTCATAGCGTCGCCTCTACACACGCATGCGCGACCAGTATCACAACAACAATGGCGCCGTTGCTAATGCTACTCACCCTGCTGTCGGGCTTACAACAGAATCTTCTTCTTCTGGAATATCTCCAGGAATAACAGAGCAATATCGACGACATAGTTCAGCTCCTGAATTTCACTTAACCACGAAAATGGACCCGCAGGGCAACCATGTATAAATATTAGTGCACATGCCCAACATTTCGTCGCTTATTTTTGCTTTGGCACCACAGCGCCACTTACAGGCCTGGCATACATTTTGCAGCGTTTTCATGCATTCGTGTGGACGCTCACATTTATTTTACGTCTCCGTCTTTACGACAAACGTTCTGGAAAATATTAGCGTTTCGTGTTCGTTTTGACTTCGTGTGGACGGGGCCTAAACCTATTTCCCACATTACACTGGGACTGGTTAGAGCCTGACTTCATGACCATCCTGCACAGGATGCTCTGAAAACCACAGAGAGACGGTTTTACTTTATTACAATAGGAACTAGGTTTGAAGAAAAGGAAACTGGGACGGTTTCATTTGCTCTGGTTGAAGCAGAGAGACGAGATTCAAAGAGACGATCAGTGAAGCTTCTCCAAGCTGCTCCTTGTTTTTTTTTTGTTTTTTTTTCCGTGGGGGGTGAGTTAGATAGTAATTTCTATCCGAATCTGTTGTCACGTCTCCTGGTTATTTAATAAATATAAATTATGAAGTGTTATTTAAAGAGTTTGTCCTGAGCGATGATATCTTTTCAGGAAAAAGAACGGTAGAGAGAAAGCTTCAAGGCGCAGACACACACAGAGCCTAACTTTAACAAAACTTAAACAGAAGGCAGAACCGTGACAATAACTCTGATGTCTGAGGTGACGGTACTGCTGCCGAAGCTCCTCAGAAATGCTATTATCACCCAGAAGAGCGTCGAGAAGCTCAGCATCCATTCTTTGCCTGCTTTGAGCGTCAACTGTAACGGTTGCTAGGTGACAGAGCGTACAGGAGGTGAAAGTCGGAGAAGGCTGGATCTGTTTGGCTCCACAGCCAAAGCTCTTCCACCCTCATTATTTTCACAGACCGGTCCAGGTAGACCGGGTCATCCCCCCCATCCGGCCTCTGAAAGCCAACCCTCTACCTGCCTCGGACTTGGAGAAGACGTGTCGGTCTTGTTTTTAGTGTTGAAAACTTGAATGGTTCTGTTCTCATTTATTACTGGTTTATTAATGATTTTAAAGGCAAACATGAAGCTCCTACAGTTTAATAAAACAAAAATAACCTGGATTAAATCCAAACCAACGGAAGTCAAAGTTTCTATAAGAAGCTGTTTGATGGCATGAAGAGTTAAAAGTGAAATAATAAAGCTGTTGAATGTCAGAAATGTAGCATCGAAAGTCTTCAGCTTCTCTTTGTGTTGCTTTCTGTCTGGTTACAGCCAGATGTGTTCAGGATGTATGGCCCCGCCCACATTTCCACAGTAAATGAGTCAACATGCAGAACATTGCGTACATTTCCTGTAAAAAGCAACTGATCACGTGACCTCTGAGACACTCCTTCTGTTTCATCAGCCACTGCTTTACTGTCTGCTTACAGCGAATGCTGCATGTAGAGTTTGACCTCTGCAGCTGCAGCGGCGCCAACTAACAAAGTACAAATACTTTGTTACTGTACTGAAGTAGAAATCTGTACTTTAATGGACTAATTAACTTTTAGACAACGTTTTACTTCCTTACATTTTAAAAATAGACTCATTGGTTTTGTTTTTATTTAAGCTCATTTTCATTACGGCCTGTTGGTATTTATAAAATAAAAACCATCAAAATATGTAGTTTCATAGAATTAATTAGACAATTAATTCCTTTATGATTGGACTCGGTGCTGCCCCAACCTGTTGCTCACCACATAATAAATAAATAGTTTTCAAGATGATGCAAAGTTAAATGTGACGCTGTTAACATTAGTTATAAAACTAAGAAAATGAAGTCTAGAAGTTATCATCTAGAAGTGTAGAAAAATGTTCCTCTAATAGAGTAGAGCAGTAAAGCTTCTGGCTTTAACATTTTTATTTCCTGCAATAATTTTACTTTTATAGTTTAAGTAGTTTTATAGATGGTACTTTTACACTTTTACTGGAGTAAAAAAATATGAAGTTTATTGTTTCTGCAAAAGGGTTTTAATCGGCAGGATAACCCTCCCCACACACACACACACACACACACTCTGGTATGAATTTATGTAACAGTTGAAGTTGAGCAGATGAGCCTGCAGAATGAGGAAGATGGTGGAGAAGTTAGTTAGTTGGTTGCTTCAAATGAAAATGGAGGAGGAGCTTCCTGGGCGTTGAAACCGTATTTCCTGTAAAACTCTAAAATCTTCCTCTGCAAACATTTAAACATCTGTAAGGTTCACTCGGACACATCTGGAGGCCAGAGGCATTTTCTCACTGCAATGAATTTAAAAGGAGATAAAAACTCAGAGATCAAACGAACGTTTTGAATCGTGACAGAAAAAAAACTTCATTAATGAACACGGCGAGTTTTCCCGCGCGACATGTTTACCGTAAAGTCTGCAACACGGGAGCACTTGAAATGCGGCTTTCATCGGATCACAGAGCGCAGCGGAGGCTCACCCGGAGGAAAGAGTGTCTGATATCCAGTGCCTGCACTGCGGCGGCTGACAGAAGAACATCTGGATCATCTGGATCATCTGCTCTAATAGGAAATGGCTCCAAAAACAGCCAAGAAGATTCTGAAGGAAGTTCTGGAGAATCTGACCAAGATCAACTTTGACAAGTTCCGATCGGAGTTAGTGGACCGCGGCGAGGTGAAGATGAACCAGGTGGAGGACCGAGACTTCCTGGTGGTCTCAGATGTGATGGTCTCCGTTTATACCCAGAAGCAGGCTCTGCTTGTGGCCCACGAGATCCTCACAGAGATCCGGTGCGGAGAGGCTGCCAGCAATCTGGGTAAACATTTGCTCAACATCTGGATCCATTTAATCCTCCTGCTCTCACCTCATCACATCCCAGAATTAGTTAATCCCTCAGATTATTCTAATCTTATTTGACCTGATTTAATTGATTTATAGTTCAAACATTTTTTACTTTCACTTTCACCTCTGACCCGAACCGGGTGTCCCTTCTCTAACCTGATCACACTGTTTCCCTTCAACCCGCCAACTGTGGATCTGGTGACAATAAAGTTGAATTCTATTCTATTCTATTTAGTCAGAGCTCCAGCTGTCTGTCAGGACTTCCTGTCCTTTCATCCCTGAAGCTTCCTGCAGGAATCAGACCCAAAAACTGAACTCTGTCCCGAACACTCTGCTCCTCCTTTGAAGGATAATTTAAACAATGACGTCATAAAGGCTCCGTTTATATTCAACCTGATCTCTGCTGATTGTAGAATAATCCTGAGTAGATCTAATCCACCATGAGCTGCAGACCTGAGCTGGAGGTTCTAACTTCAACCTCTGAGAACCTCAGTCTGAAACTCAGCTAAGCTTCCATTAAATGTTTTACTTTGTTTGTTTTTCAGTTGAAGAGGCAAAAAAGGCTGGATTATGGTCCTCAGATGGTTCTGCTGGAGATGGTGAGTTCTACTGCTTCTTCATCCAAAGCATGAGGAACACCAGGTTAGATGAGGAACACCAGATTAGATGAGGAACACCAGATTAGATGAGGAACACCAGGTTAGATGAGGAACACCAGATTAGATGAGGAACACCAGATTAGATGAGGAACACCAGATTAGATGAGGAACACCAGATTAGATGAGGAATACCAGATTAGATGAGGAACACCAGATTAGATTAGGAACACCAGATTAGATGAGGAACACCAGGTTAGACGAGGAACACCAGGTTAGATGAGGAACACCAGATTAGATGAGGAACACCAGATTAGATGAGGAACACCAGGTTAGATGAGGAACACCAGATTAGATGAGGAACACCAGGTTAGATGAGGAACACCAGGTTAGATGAGGAACACCAGGTTAGATGAGGAACACCAGATTAGTTGAGGAACACCAGGTTAGATGAGGAACACCAGATTAGTTGAGGAACACCAGATTAGATGAGGAACACCAGGTTAGATGAGGAACACCAGATTAGATGAGGAACACCAGATTAGATGAGGAACACCAGGTTAGATGAGGAACACCAGGTTAGATTAGGAATACCATATTAGATGAGGAACACCAGATTAGACGAGGAACACCAGGTTAGATGAGGAACACCAGATTAGTTGAGGAACACCAGGTTAGATGAGGAACACCAGGTTAGATTAGGAATACCATATTAGATGAGGAACACCAGATTAGATGAGGAACACCAGGTTAGATGAGGAACACCAGATTAGATGAGGAACACCAGGTTAGATGAGGAACACCAGATTAGATGAGGAACACCAGATTAGATGAGGAACACCAGATTACATGAGGAACACCAGGTTAGATGAGGAACACCAGGTTAGATGAGGAACACCAGGTTAGATGAGGAACACCAGATTAGATGAGGAACACCAGATTAGATGAGGAACACCAGATTAGATGAGGAACACCAGGTTAGATGAGGAACACCAGATTAGATGAGGAACACCAGATTAGATGAGGAACACCAGGTTAGATGAGGAACACCAGATTAGATGAGGAACACCAGATTAGATGAGGAACACCAGATTAGATGAGGAACACCAGATTAGTTGAGGAACACCAGATTAGATGAGGAACACCAGGTTAGATGAGGAACACCAGGTTAGATGAGGAACACCAGGTTAGATGAGGAACACCAGGTTAGACGAGGAACACCAGGTTAGATGAGGAACACCAGGTTAGATGAGGAACACCAGATTAGTTGAGGAACACCAGATTAGATGAGGAACACCAGGTTAGATGAGGAACACCAGATTAGATGAGGAACACCAGGTTAGATGAGGAACACCAGATTAGATGAGGAACACCAGATTAGATGAGAAACACCAGGTTAGATGAGGAACACCAGGTTAGATGAGGAACACCAGATTAGATGAGGAATACCAGATTAGATGAGGAACACCAGGTTAGATGAGGAATACCAGATTAGATGAGGAACACCAGATTAGTTGAGGAACACCAGGTTAGATGAGGAACACCAGGTTAGATGAGGAACACCAGATTAGATGAGGAATACCAGATTAGATGAGGAACACCAGGTTAGATGAGGAATACCAGGTTAGATGAGGAACACCAGATTAGTTGAGGAACACCAGGTTAGATGAGGAACACCAGAGTAGATGAGGAACACCAGGTTAGATGAGGAACACCAGATTAGTTGAGGAACACCAGGTTAGATGAGGAACACCAGGTTAGATGAGGAACACCAGATTAGTTGAGGAACACCAGGTTAGATGAGGAACACCAGATTAGATGAGGAACACCAGGTTAGATGAGGAATACCAGGTTAGATTAGGAATACCATATTAGATGAGGAACACCAGGTTAGATGAGGAACACCAGGTTAGATGAGGAACACCAGGTTAGATGAGGAACACCAGGTTAGATTAGGAATACCATATTAGATGAGGAACACCAGATTAGTTGAGGAACACCAGGTTAGATGAGGAACACCAGGTTAGATGAGGAACACCAGATTAGTTGAGGAACACCAGATTAGATGAGGAACACCAGGTTAGATGAGGAACACCAGGTTAGATGAGGAATACCAGGTTAGATTAGGAATACCAGATTAGATGAGGAACACCAGGTTAGATGAGGAACACCAGGTTAGATGAGGAACACCAGGTTAGATGAGGAACACCAGGTTAGATTAGGAATACCATATTAGATGAGGAACACCAGGTTAGATGAGGAACACCAGGTTAGATGAGGAACACCAGGTTAGATGAGGAACACCAGGTTAGATTAGGAATACCATATTAGATGAGGAACACCAGATTAGTTGAGGAACACCAGATTAGATGAGGAACACCAGGTTAGATGAGGAACACCAGGTTAGATGAGGAACACCAGATTAGATGAGGAATACCAGATTAGATGAGGAACACCAGGTTAGATGAGGAATACCAGATTAGTTGAGGAACACCAGGTTAGATGAGGAACACCAGATTAGTTGAGGAACACCAGGTTAGATGAGGAACACCAGAGTAGATGAGGAACACCAGATTAGATGAGGAATACCAGATTAGATGAGGAACACCAGGTTAGATGAGGAATACCAGATTAGTTGAGGAACACCAGGTTAGATGAGGAACACCAGATTAGTTGAGGAACACCAGGTTAGATGAGGAACACCAGAGTAGATGAGGAACACCAGGTTAGATGAGGAACACCAGATTAGTTGAGGAACACCAGGTTAGATGAGGAACACCAGATTAGTTGAGGAACACCAGGTTAGATGAGGAACACCAGGTTAGATGAGGAACACCAGGTTAGATGAGGAACACCAGGTTAGATTAGGAATACCATATTAGATGAGGAACACCAGATTAGTTGAGGAACACCAGGTTAGATGAGGAACACCAGGTTAGATGAGGAACACCAGATTAGATGAGGAATACCAGATTAGATGAGGAACACCAGGTTAGATGAGGAATACCAGATTAGATGAGGAACACCAGATTAGATGAGGAACACCAGGTTAGATGAGGAACACCAGATTAGATGAGGAATACCAGATTAGATGAGGAACACCAGGTTAGATGAGGAATACCAGATTAGATGAGGAACACCAGATTAGTTGAGGAACACCAGGTTAGATGAGGAACACCAGGTTAGATGAGGAACACCAGGTTAGATGAGGAACACCAGAGTAGATGAGGAACACCAGGTTAGATGAGGAACACCAGATTAGTTGAGGAACACCAGGTTAGATGAGGAACACCAGATTAGTTGAGGAACACCAGGTTAGATGAGGAACACCAGGTTAGATGAGGAACACCAGGTTAGATGAGGAATACCAGATTAGATGAGGAACACCAGGTTAGATGAGGAATACCAGATTAGATGAGGAACACCAGGTTAGATGAGGAACACCAGATTAGATGAGGAACACCAGGTTAGATGAGGAACACCAGATTAGATGAGGAACACCAGGTTAGATGAGGAACACCAGGTTAGTTGAGGAACACCAGGTTAGATGAGGAACACCAGATTAGTTGAGGAACACCAGATTAGATGAGGAACACCAGATTAGATGAGGAACACCAGATTAGATGAGGAACACCAGGTTAGATGAGGAACACCAGGTTAGATGAGGAATACCAGATTAGATGAGGAACACCAGGTTAGATGAGGAACACCAGATTAGATGAGGAACACCAGGTTAGATGAGGAACACCAGGTTAGATGAGGAACACCAGGTTAGATGAGGAACACCAGATTAGATGAGGAACACCAGATTAGATGAGGAACACCAGGTCTGTGGTTCTGTGCTGGGAGTATCTGTGAGGCACTTTAACCTTATTTTATGTTGTTGATTTTTGGCATCCTGCGATGGACCACCTTTTGCCCGTAGACAGCTGGAGATAGACACAGCACCCCTCGTGACCCCATATGGGATTAAGTGTGTCAGAAAATGGATGGATGGATTGATGGATGGAGAAAGTTAAGAGTCATCCAGGTTTTTATGTCTTCAGACATGCCTGTAATCTATGTAATGGGTTAGCTTCATCTGGATTATAGACAGATATAGCTGGGTATCATCAGCATAACAGTGGAAATTAATCCCATGCTGTCTAATAACTCTACCAATTGGGAGCATGTATAAAGTAAAGAGAATTGGTCCTAGCACTGATCCCTGTGGTACTCCACAGGTAACCTTTGAGTGTGTTGAAGATCTGTCATTAACATGAACAAACTGAATTCGATCAGATAGATCAGATTTAAACCAGTCTAGAGCTGTTCCTTTAATTCCAACAAAATATTCAAGTCTTTCTAAAAGAATATTATGGTCAACTGTATCAAATGCAGCACTAAGATCCAACAGGACGAGCACAGATACAAGTCCATTATCTGAGGCCATGAGAATATCATTAGTGACTTTCACCAGAGCTGTTTCAGTGCTATGATGAGCTCTAAAGCCAGACTGAAACTCTTCAAAAAGTTCATTATGGTGGAAGTGATCGCAAACTTGTTTGGCAACTACTTTCTCAAGAATTTTGGATAAGAAAGGAAGATTGGATATAGGTCTATAATTGACCAAGTCATCTGGGTCAAGAGACGGTTTCTTAAGCAGAGGTTTAATTCCAGCAACCTTAAAAGCTTTAGGTACATATCCCTGTAACAGAGATAGATTAATCACATCTAGAATGGAGGAGGAGATCAAAGGGAATACCTCCTTAAACAATCTGGTTGGAACTGGATCTAACATCCAAGTTGAAGGCTTAGATGAAGACAATAGTTTTGCTGACTCTGAAAGTTAAACCGGATCTAGGCAGTGTAAACCCGGTTCAGATTCTATGGTAAATAAAGGACATTCAAACCGGAGTTTCATTATCGTAGTGTAAAAATAACGTCTGCTGTTTCTTCTCCTCAGAGGAGCACTTCGTGGACAAACACATGGACGAGCTGATCCAGAGAGTGAGCTCCGTTGCTCCCATTCTAGACAAGCTCCTTAAATTCAAAGTCATCCAGATTGAAACTTATGATGAGATCAGCGCTGAAAGGACGTCCCAGGCCAAGATGAGAGCCATCTACAGAGGCCCTCTGAGAGCCGGCAGAGACGTCAAAGACAAATTCCTGGACATCCTGAAGGAACAACAACGCCCCCTGATTGATGATCTCATGAAAAAATGAAATTAAACATTTTAAAGAACAACAATGGAAATTTGAATGAGAATTAATTTCTCTGAGCTTCATTTTCCTGAAATCAAATAAAAGCATTTTTCTGACTTGTTTGTTTTGGATTTTCCTGAACCTTGAGTAAGAGATGAAGAACATCCATGACAGAAGGTCCTTGATAGTTTCCATTCAGCAGAACCTTTCCTGCAGATATTGAAGGTGTGTGAAGCTTCGTGTCCTTCAGCCTGGGAGCTTCAGGCTGGAGGTCCAGCCGTCGCTTCTAGTTTATGAATGAAGGGCAGCTTGGAGTCTGATGCTGGCGATCTCCTCTGGTGACACTCTGCAGCCTTTTTCTGGTGGGGATTTCTCTCTTATTGTTTGATATTGTTTTGCCTGAGTCTGCATGTTCTCCCTGAGCATGCGTGGGTTCTCTCCGGGTACTCCAGCTTCCTCAGTCCAAAAACATGACTGTTAGGTTAATTGGCTTCTCTAGAATCTCCTTAGGTGTGATTGTGTGCATGAATGGTTGTTTGTCTCTGTGTTGCTCTACGATGGACTGGAGACTTGTCCAGGATGGACCCGCCTCTCGCCCATTGGCTGGAGATAGACACCAGCACTCCTCGCCCCCCCATTTGGGACAAGCGTGTCAGATAATGGATGGATGGATGACTAAAGGGAAACACGCCCATTGAGGTAGTTTAAAGTTTATTTTTCATAGAAAACTAAAGGGATAAAGGCAAATCTGACTTCTTACGTATTGACTATAGGTATGCTGGTCTGACGGGGTATGCTCATCTGACAGAGCAGCGGTCACAGCCCATCTGCTTGATAAAGCATAAGGTTTGCATGGATCCAGGGCAATGACTGCTGGGGCTACGCTACGTCCTCCATTCATCAGAATTAAAGACTGTTGAGGAAAGCTCTGTGTTTCCACCTTGAAGCTTCTCTCCGGTTCTTTTCCTGAAAAGATCACTGAGAGAAACGCTTTGAATAATACTTCATAATGTTTATGTGTTGAATAACCAGGAGACGTGAGAACAGATTTTGAGAGGAATTATAATCTTACTCAGATCAGAGAAGTTGCTCTGAGTTACAGAAGGCAGCTGCTTACTGACCGCTCCACTGAGGACGCCATCTCTGCTGCTCTCCACCTGAGCCTGGCACACCTGGAGGAGAAGAACACCCACGATGGATGCTGTTCCTGGACTTCAGTTCAGCTTTCAGCACCATCATCCCACAGCATCTGATGGGCAAACTGGAACAGCTGGGCTTCAATACACCCCTCTGCTATTGGCTGCTAGACTTCCTCACCAACAGACCTCAGTCAGTCAGCCTCTGATGTCATCAGTCTAAGCCCCTCCCCTCAGGGCTGCGTCCTGAGCCCCCTGCCGTTCACCCTGATGACACACGACTGCGTCCCCAGGTTCACCACCGATCACATGGTGAAGTTTGCAGACGACACCACGGTGGTGGGACTACAGAGAGGAGGTGGAGCAGCTGGTGGAGCAGAGATAACAGCCTGATCCTGAAGGTGGAGAAGACCAAGGAGATCATGGTGGACTTCAGGAAGAAGCGGCCTAACCACGCTCCACTGCTCATCAACAGCTCAGCTGTAGAGGTGGTCAGCAGAGAGGATCATGGGGGCTCCTCTGCCCTCCATTAAAGACATTTCATCCCAGCGCTGCGTGTCCTGTGACATCATCAATGACCCCTCACCCCCCCACCATGGACTGTTCTCCCTGCTGCCCTCTGGGAAGAGGCTTCCCAGCATTCAATGCAGGACCAGCAGGTTCTGCAGCAGCTTCTTCCCCACCGCCATCACACTGATGACACCAAACCAACAAGCAGCAGATTTTCTCCATAGATATTAAAGCTCTGAACTTCCAGATCGATGAGTTTTTTGCACCATGTTTTTTCTTCCACACTGTTTACATTTGATCACTGCTGACCTTTTAGAAATGGAAATGTTCTGAAAGATGAACTAAACGAAAACATGAAAACTTTTCTAAACTGGCCTCACATCTCATTGGAGTGACTCTGAATCACATTTAGAGAAGCATTTTATACAACTGCAGTCTGCCACATCATGACCTTATCACATCATCACATCATACACGTTTGCAGATGAGGAGACATTCATGGCTCCAGCCTTATCAAAATATTAAAATTTCATTGGAAAAATTTGAAACCTAAATAATTTATTTTTTCTTGAATTCAGGAGGGAAGTGAAATGCTTAAAAAGGAACAAAATAATTACATTCAAAATAACAAAAAATAACAGTTGCATTGTTTTATTTCAAGTTCATATTATCTAATTATCTTATTATAAGAGTAAAAATACTCCGTTGGCAAATGATCAACTTTACCTGTTACTACTGCATATCTATTGTATACTTCACTCATATTCATTTAACTCTGCAATAATTTAATACAATCAATCATTTGCACAGAACTTTACTGTTGTCACTTTATACCAGTGTTTGTAACCTTAGCTTTAGCCATTTAACCTTTCACACCAAGTGTGATGGCCTTGTCTGTACCGGTATATACTTAATGTATATTTTTTATATATTTTTATATTTTGTATTCTTTCTTTTTTCCTACTGTACTGTTCACTGTGATGCAACGCTGCAATTTCCCCACTGTGGGACAAATAAAGGATTATCTTATCATTTAGCTGCTCATATTCAGGGTAAAAACACTTCATTTAAGGTGTTTTTATTTATTTCTAGATGTTTTTTTCAGTGTTGTTCTTAGATCAAGGAGCCGCTCTCATTCCATTCCCAAATCTCTGCAACCTGCAGAATTAAGATAAGTTTTTATCCTGACAGAAGAACCTGATGAGATAAACTACTGAGGAAAACATTAGTTCTGACACACAGCAGGCCGGTATTATTGGGTTTAACAGATTATTAATAAAAATAATCAGAACATGGTGAAACTCTTCAGCTGACCCATAAATAATTTTATTTAAAATGTTTTCTGCAAAACATGATGTGTAATAATCCTGCAGAACCTCAGTGTTCAGGTGGAGAGTCCAAGAGCCAAATGTTGAAGTTCTTTGGCGCCCCCTAGTGGACCTTCTGCACAGTGATCTACGCTCTGAGCTCCTCCATGGAAGACTTGCATCAGGTAGAAATAGTGTTCTAGTAGCTTTTCTGTAATTATGGATTTAATAATTTTCTTCTTTCTACTTTAACATCTTTTTCCATCTCATATTTTTTGTCTCGTTATTTTTCGGTTCCAATCATAACGACTGCAGCTCTGCGTTCTGTTTGTTTTCATTAAAAAAATCCATGGTAATTAAAGCAGCAATGCTCTGAAAGAGCAAGGAGCATTTTAGACGTACTTTTTATTTAAATCCTCAGAGTGTCAGTCAGACGGCCGCCTGTCCAAACACTGAAGGACTTAATCAACATGGAAGAAAAATGATTTTTCAACAGATCACAAAGTTTAAATTCACCCTTAACTCCCAGATATAATAAACTGCCGAGAAAATTCAAGGTAGAAATGTGAGGAGATATCAGTGAGCTGCTGCATTCAGAGGGAAAAAATAAAGATCACTGTCATCAGCATAAAGCAAGACTCTGTTTGATACCATTTCCATCCTGTTATCTCAGTAATTTATGCTTTAGATCAATTTGACAGGAGGCTCTAAGAGCAGGAGGAGAAGGAGACGTCAGGGATCTTGTTCCCCTGAAGGAGAGAAATGATCAGACGTGTTATTCACTAGTTTACCTATAAAAGCTTTGCTGACGACGTTAAATCTTTATGAGATTCTAACCCTGTAAGTTCCTGGAAAGGTATCGACTCTAAAGTCTTTCTGGTAAACAGGCCGATCCTCAAATCCTTCAAAAGGGACTGATTGACTCATTTCATTGGTTTCTGTCCAGAAATCTAATATCTTTTAATTTGCTAACAGATTTAGCTTATTAGGACAGAAACAATTATTGTTCACGATCATGATGGTTGAAATGTGCTGCTGAAGATTCTCAGTCATCCAGGTCAGAGTCGAGTTAAAATCAAGTTTGAAGACGTTTCTCTTCCATCCAGGAAGTTTTTTTAATTCAAAATGTCAGAAATAGCGTTTAGTTCCAGGTTTTATCCAGCAGCCCAACAAAGCCTGGTTTTAGTTTAGAAAACATGCAAATAGAAACGGATGAACGGGTCCCCCCCTTTGGAATGGGGGTCGTTCAGGCTGGACTCGTTTCTATTTGCATGTTTTCTAAAAGAAATTGACATTTTGAATTGAAAAATCTTCCTGTATGGAAGAGAAACATCTTCAAACCGGGAGGGGCCCCACAGGGACACCTACTGTTCCAAACATTTAAGCAATCAGTGATTTCCTGTTTTTATTTACACCAAACAATAGAAAACCTTCTCTGGCTGAACTCAGCAGCAGTTCTTCTCAGTTCCAAAGGAGGTAGAGATGAGTTTGGTATCAAAAAATAACAATATAAATGCACAGAACTCTACATGTTTGTCTTATAAACAATATTTACAAGCTTTTGGTATAAATGCATCAGTAGCATCAGTAGTGCTTCAAACAGCTGCTTGCTGGGCTGCACCGGTCCTGAGGTTTGGAAAAGCTTTCCTGACGTCTTTCAGAGTTCCTGTCCGTTCGCACGGCGGCGTCCCCCAATCCCCACCAGGGTGCTGCTCCCTACTGGGACACCCAGGCCCCCCCGCTCTGCTGAGAGGCGCCCCCCTCTGAGGACGGCCATGTCTCAGTGTTGGTGGGTAAGATGTTGAGGCTGCTGAGGACCTCCTGCGCCGTCTTTCCCAGCATGCCCTGCATGTCGCAGACGAAGCGGTAGACGTAGCGCTTGCCGGCTGTCTTGTGGATGATGTTTTTGTGGTAGTAGTAGCGCAGGCCGCGGCTCAGCTTCTCGTAGTTCATCTTTGGCTTGTTCTTGCACTGACCCCAGCGTTTGGCCACCTGAGGGATGAAAACAACCTTCAGCATCGAACACCTGAACCTTGACCTCAGCAGAAACAGCAAACCTGCAAGCTGCACCGCATTAAGGCCCGCCTACAGAATAAAATCACAACATCATGAGAAGAAAGTTCTGTTTTCAGCTCTTAGGAGAATCTGTCTTCCCTATAAGGA